AAAAAAATTAAAAATCACTTTGCTAGAACAGTGATAACTAGAGAATGCAATTCCTGAAGAAATTGCTAGTGGGAATGCTTTATGCTGAAAAGCTGACGCTAAACTGCTATGCTGAAATGTAATGTGTAAGAAGAAAGTGAAGAATTTAGATTGAAATGATACATGAACACTGGGGGCTTGAATGTGTGATGAGTGAAGAAAAGAAAGTAAAAAGGCTTGGAAAAGCAGCAGAATATTTGAACTGCAACCTTTTGAACTAACTTGATGGCGAATGATCTGTCGCCATGGCAACGGCATTTGATGACACCCCATAATACGCTTAGATGCGTTGATGGCTGCATCGTTACCAAACCTGTGAAGTTTTGGGCCGTTTGAAGCATTTTCACTGAAGTTATGAGAAAACCGTGTTTCATGGCGAGCATTGTGTTGCTATGGCAATGGCATTTGAAGAAATCTCAAAACTGTCTCGTAGATGTCTTCACGGCTGGACTGTTAGCACACATGTGAATTTTGAGCACTTTTTGAACATTTTCATAGGTGTTAAAGGGACATCGTGTTTCATGGCGAGGCATATGGTGAGATTTCAAATTTGGCGTAGAGCTGTTGAGGCATGGACCGGTGATATACAAGTGAAGATTGGGGGACGATTGGACCGTGTCCATTGGACTTACAGCGACATCGTGTTTCATGGCGAGTGGGCTGTCGCCATGGCAACGGCATTTGATGACACCCCATAATACGCTTAGATGCGTTGATGGCTGCATCGTTACCAAACCTGTGAAGTTTTGGGCCGTTTGAAGCATTTTCACTGAAGTTATGAGAAAACCGTGTTTCATGGCGAGCATTGTGTTGCCATGGCAACGGCATTTGAAGAAATCTCAAAACTGTCTCGTAGATGTCTTCACAGCTGAGATTTATTTTGGGGGTGCTGTGGGGTAGCTTGACGTTTCATAGAGGGTGCTCTGTGCCGGTCGCTACAGTGGAATTTTCTACTGCAACAATCCCCACGCAAATACACAATGTACCCGCGACTGTTACAATGAAGGCTCGATAATCAGCTCACGGCAGGTGTAAGCAGGGGTAAAGTGGTATTTTTTATAGGTGTGTGGATCTCACATTGGAGGGTCCGGGGGCATGCTCCCCCTGGAAGATTTGTGTTAAAAGCATCAATCTGGTGTACTTTGAGAGCAAAATGAAGAGATCTATGGATACATCTCTCAACACCCATTTGAAACAGAACTGTAAACAGATTTAGTTTTTCTTTATGGATATTTTACAAATCACTCCCCTTTATTCTTTTTTTAATGTCATATAGTATTTCATACCTGTTTTTCATTTATTCTCTTATTTTTTTAACTATAATGATCATATAAACGTGTGCCTCGGAAATAATTGTTTACATTAATCGTGACCAAACCGTTTGAGACCCACTGAGATAACTTAGACTAAAGTTAACTATCTAAACACTCAGAGAGTCCTTTAGCTCACTGAGCCTCTCAGTCTGACAGGAGAGGGCTCTCCTCCACCTTGTTGTTGAAAAAGCTCCTCATATCCATTAGCGTAGCTTGCTAGCACCAGAAGCTAACAACAACGATCTCCGGTACCGGTGCGCTCTCTCTCTCTCTCTCTCTCTCTCGCACACAAAATGGCTCGTTCCACACACAAACAGAGCCGAGCTTGAATGAAACACAGAGACCCAGACGTACTTGTACTGTACTGTATCATATTATTTTCGAGTCAATAATTTTCCAAATTATGATTTTTTCTTTCTTTTCTTTTTTTTTCATAACCATTTTTCCTCCTGGTCTCTCGCGCCCCCCCTGTCATGCCTCTGCGCCCCCCACTTTGAGAAACACTGGACTAGACTAGTCTTTTGTTTTGTTTATTAATATTCTTTTTAGTATGTCAATCAACACAGACTAGCTCGCTCGTTACTGTTTGCTAATAGACTCGAGTTTTCCAGCATTACAGCCACCACCTATTGGTGAGAAACGGCATGGTTAGCTACTATATTTGCATTTGCTCTGTGCATTACAGGCCTGCACAGAGTGGTTTATGACTTATTACATCCTTTATTTTGTATTTTTGTTTCAATTATCCTCTGTCTTTCTTACCTTTAGCCCAAGGAGGAGTTTCACCAGTCCATCCCACTAACACCTCAAAAAACAAAGCACATTTCATTCAAGGATGAAACGGATAAGTCTGTGAGTACAGGTTATACCAACCAAAAAGCGCTCCATAAGAACCCAGTCAGTGTGAACAGAGCCACAGCGTCTGAATACACTCCCAAAGTCCACATCATCGCAGACTATATCATGTGAGTGAACATTTAAGCTATGCATGTTATAGAGTTGTATAAATAATGTACTCAAGATTTCTTTCTATCTATTAGTCATTTATACTTCCTACTGTTCAATGTAATTGAATGTCTTTCTTCTTTCCTATAGAAAGTATCCAGAGATCAGCTGTGTGGAAGAAAGGGAAAAGTACAAAGCGGTTTTCAATGACCAGTATCAGGAATACAAGGACCTTCACAGAGACATCAGCACCACCGTCCAGAAGTTCAGAGAGCTGGACGCCACCATGGCACGACTTCCCAGAGAGGGAAAAAGCCAAGAGGTGAGCGACCTTTACTAAACCATTTCCATAAATAATATAAACCATTCCTTTAATTTAATTTGAGGTAAAAGTGTCCTAATAAGACCTCCTTATAGTACAGACATGTTTCCACATGGTTTGATGCAAACCATTTTTTTCAATTTTTTTTTATAGGATAAGCAGAGGATTCAAACTATTTTGAGGAAGTATCAGCAGAAAAAGAGCGTAAGTTAAATATTGATTTTCCCCTAATGTTCTTCCATCTGTTCACTCTAAAACATTTGAAAATGTATTTGGCAATCTCACATTTAACCCCAACATGTGTTCAAATTGTATCAATAGTGTAAACACCCAGCTATTATCTCCTTTTCTTCATTAAAGCTTTCAACTTATGGAAATAATATTGCTTGTACCGTAAAACTGAAAACGCTTCATTTAACGCAGCTTTTACAGAATAATTCAGGCAAGACTAAAGTTAGAAAAGAAAAAACTATGGCTCCAGCCATTAATCAATTAATTATTTGATGTGTGTGTTTTCACAGGACCCTGGCTTCCTGGAGAAAAAGGAACGCAGCGAATATTTAAAAGCTAAATTAAGTTACATTAAAAACAGAATCCGCACTTTTGATGAACAGGCCATGGAAAATGAATGGGACTGAAGAAGAACAGAGAGAAATGTCTTAAGCACCCAATGAGCAGACAAAACAAATAACCTTTTAGTCAGTGATTCATTGTCTCTTTTTTACGTTTTCTCATATGTTGATTGCATTGAATATATTTATTGCATTAACAAGAAGTTAGAGGTTAACATGAAACCTGTTTTTTTTTAACACCAGAGCTAATACACTATAAGGGCTGAATGGTACACTCCTTTTGTATTGTGTTCGTACATGTAAATTCAGTGTTTTAACCAGCACTAAATATCTTGTAAAGTTTGTATCATAAAGGTTGGATTTTTGTAATTTACATGTACTGTATGCTGTTTTTTATTTGCACAATCATTTTATATGTTGTGCCCTGTGTTGACAGTTGGTTTAACTTACGACCTATGTTGGCTTCTTTGTTTTGCTCCTTAGGTGTGTTAGGTAATACATGATTTGTATTGTCCTTCAGCTTTTTAATTTCTCTATGTTTATAAAACAAAAATAAATCTAGGTTCAGAATTAAGTTGGGAGCTCGGTAAACAGACTTTACAAATATTTGTTTAGCCTCTATTAGCCTGGTACCTTTCTAACTTGAAAACACCAAAAGGTAATTTTGGTAATATGAAACATCTAAGATGCATTTAAGTAATTTGAGTCAACCTCTGGATGTTAATTTTAGACAGATATTTAGCATCTGACTGGCTATATATCTAGTTTATATATTTAAAACAGATGTTTTAAACATACAAGGGACACATACCAGGACATTTTAAATTAATCTTCTATTTATGTGAAGATATAATAATCTACTCTTTTTTCAACTGCAATTACTGTAGGCCAGACTCCCACATTATATGACTATATTTCCTGTGTCCTTGTTGCTAATTTCTGCATTATCATTAATGCTGTGCACTGATTGTTTTCTAGTCATGAATACAGTGACAGTGACTGCAGTGTCTATCAATAAAACATTATCAAAGTGTTTTCTCCTCTTCTCTGCTGTATTGTGTGGACAGTGATATTCGGATGTTTTTTGAACGGCAGCATTAAGGTCAATAATGTTTGCTGCAGGCTGCTGTTGTTAAGCGGTTTGGACACAGGTAAAATGTTTAATCTCCCAGAAAACAAACAGCAAGTTCGTGACAGCGGTTAAATGGTTTAACCAAGCAACATATTGGACAGTGTATCTCCACAAAACTATACTTAAACTGTCTGAAACGGTCTGACCAAAAATATATCTTTTTATATATTTGTAATATATTTTGACTCAAAAAAATTAACTAGATATTTTTGTTTCTTGAACAATTATAAACGAATAACCATTATATTCAAATAGTAATGCAGTAATTTGCTGTTGATCCACAAATCAATTAGCTGCCTTTAATGTAGGTACAATGGACAAATGGCTACCTACAGAAGAACAATGCAACTTTAAAAATAATGAATGATACAGGCATTATTATTATTATTATTATTATTATTATTATTAATACAATGATGGAGCTAGAAGTCATATTTACTGTAATTAAAATATTCAAATTATTTTTTTACTTGACCAGGCCTCTGAGTGCTACTTCTCATGCAGTCTTTAATGTTTAATGTCAGGGAGCTGCAGCCTACAGGACCTGTGAGAGGACACGTGGCTCCGGCGGGACAGCAGTGGGGGATCTGTCCTACTGGTGAGACACAGCCGCTCCGCAGGTTTCGTTTACGGGCTATTTGTTAAGTGAAAGTATCCTTCAAGGGAAATGACTCGGTTTATGATCGTCGGTGAAGTATAAAGAGGACAGTGTGCGGTTCGAGAGGAGACTCATGAATGACGCGAGATCATAGGAGCAGGACCTGTGCGAAGTTGAGGAACGTTTCCATAGTGCCCGGGTAAGTGGTTTACTCTTTGTGACTGATCATTTCAGTGTTAAAGTTGCTACAAAGTCTATTTCCTTTCAAAGTGATCAATTTGTTGTCCTGCTGAATGTAAGAACATGTCTAGGCTTTGATAATGGACGTTTAAAGCCTTTGGATATTAAGCTAGACCTTACACTTGGAAGAAAGTGGACATCAGCTATATATTTCACCTCAGTTTATTTTAATGTATTTATCTAGTTCATATCATCACGAATTAAGAGCAGAGGGAGACAAATTAAAGAAATAAAGTTAGAAGTATTTTTTTAAAGCTTTTCTTACTATCTGAGGGCAAAATGGAAGTATGGTAATATTAATCATATAATGATTTACCCAAACACCCAAACACGTCTACCACAGTGGTTGGTCCTATTTTGTATCTCCCCTTGTCTCTCAGTAAGCAGGTGCACTCAGGTGACATGCCTCCTCTTATCTGCTGTCAGTCTGAATTATTGAAGCCTGTTGGGTTGAGTTCCTCTGGAGTGATGAAGCGTGGGTCAGCGTTATCCGAGAGGGGGTTCAGGGATGGGCTGAGGTGATTGAAGGGCAGAGAGGTGCATGCTGGGCCTTAAGAAGTGCTTTAAAAGCTTACTCACAACAAAAACGGCTGAAAGGATTGAGGAACAGGCATTTGAAATATTTAGTTTTATGCATTTACATTCTTTTTTAAAGGGATAGTTCACCCGTTTCTTTGTGAGAGTGTTACAAAATATTGGCCTTCTCTCTATTTAATTGATCAAACTATTATTTTTCTACTGAAACATTTATAATAGATGCTACATGGAAATCTTAACAACAACCATCATTTTAAGATGATAAATTCAAGTTGTTGGCGCTTTGAGCACCACAAGCCGACAACCATCTATCTTATTTATTCCAGAGAACTGGCAGACATCTCTACATCTGATATCTACAACACTTTGGCAAATCACACCAGAAAAGTATAGATTGATACATAGCGCTACAGGTAAGGGGGAACATTTTAGTTTTGGGGTGAACTGTCCCTTTAATAGTCAATTTTCTAATCAAGGCACACATGTTAGAATTCATGTTAAAACTACAAATCTTCTCTTAAATGCATTACTATGTCGTGCTAAAACACATTTAAGCAAGTAATGTGATAAAAAGAAATTGCCCTCATTATTACATATTTTTCCTCTCTTCCAGGTGAAATTGCAGTAATATCCTCGAAAGCATGTATGAGCCTCGGTACTACGATAGCCCCCCTGTGTACAGCCCGCCTTACAGCACTAACTCCCACAGCTTCTACCCCCCACGGAGCGTCCACTCCCCGCAGAGCCAGTATGTCCCCTACACCAACAACGTCCCCCCGGACTCCCACTACATGGAGGAGAAGCCTCAGCACTTCTATCGCTGGTTTTCTCCTCCTGGCTTCGTCAAATCCTTCCAAGGAGCAACGGTCCTCATGTGCTTCCTCATCTTCGCCTGCGTGGCCTCCACCTTAGTGTGGGACATGAATGGATTTGGGTACGGGGGCTACGGTGTCGGGGCTGCAGGGGGTGGTGCAGGGATGGAGTCTGGATATTATGGAGGCAGCTACGGCTACGGGGGCTCCTACATGACGCCACAGTCTGCCAAGGCGGCGATGATCTCCATGGCGGCCATTAACTTCCTGGTCTCACTGGGCTTCCTGGTGGCCAGTTTCTCACGGTCACAGATCATGAGGGGGTGCAGGTTCTACCTCACCATGTTCATCTGTGATATCATCTTAGCTGTCCTTCAAGTGAGTCTCACCAAATATGTAATGTGTCAATTACATTACTAGCAGTGAAGGAACAGCCACAGTTGTCTATTACACATCCAGCAGATACAAAGAAGCATTAGAGTTGAAGCTGAACATCTAATATTTCCTCTCCTTTTAGCTCTGTTTTGGTCTCCACCAGCCCCTGAGTAAAATATCTGTTTATATATATATACTTTAGCTGCCAAATACTCCACTCTGTTCATCAGCAAGTTGTTAAGTCAACTTTATTGCCAATCTTTCAGTTTGTGTGTACAGACAGAGAGATCGAAATACAGTTTCCCACAATCCTGAGGAATAAAAAATAAAAATATGCATACAAATATGTATATAGATATATATATACACAATCAACAGACACATTTATACATATGCACACATTAAAGACATAAATAAAAGCACAACAATTAATATATACAAAATAACAGTCACTATGTCTATCATCTGTTAAATACCGAGCAGAAAGTGTACAGTGTGTTTATTATAGGCAAACTGCAACTTGCTGTCTATAAAATAAATGTGATGAAAACGGTGAGAATGTACCAAAACAAGATTATTTGCAGGCCAGAAAATCTAAACAATAAACTTAAAGGTATCAAAAATCTCTCTGGAGCTGAGGAGGGTTACATTATAGGACTACAGGGAATACATCACATGAAGGAAGTCATAATAGCATGGGAGATCATTCAAATATAATATAGGATATATTTAAATGATTACTGTGAATAAACATGCCTTTCTTTTGTCTTTTAGGGCATCATTGACATCATCTTTGTGATCGGGGTGAACCCGATGTCTCAAAGCTCACAGAGCATGCTCTATAATCCCATGCTGATGATGTGCCAGAGCATCCAGGGCAGTCCCAGCCTCAGCGGCAGCATCGGGGCCGGGTTTCCAGGCGGTTTCCCCATGTACAACCAATACCTGTACCACTACTGCTTCATGGACCCCGAGGAGGTTGGTTAGTGTTAGAAAAATATCACTCGTTACCGGCTTGAGCTTCAATAATCAGGATCCTGTATTTATTATCCTTGCAAGAATGGAAGTAGTCATCACATACAGAGCTGCATGGGACAAATACTTCCCAGAACAGTGTCCTTCACATGCTTTATATACAAGACAGGGTGTTATTCAGTCACAAGATACATGTATACCGGTTCAAAGCAGTATTCTATGCTTAGTTCAGATTAGCTAAGGCCCACGTAAGCAATAAACATGACAGTCATATGTCTATCTCCATAGAGGCTGAATCAACATGTTAATCGTTGTCACAAAGCTATCATATGCCTAAAACAGTCCTGACGCTCTTCTAGGTAATCATACATCCGGTTACGTACACAGCTACGTAGGGCCTTTGTTATCATGTGCTACTCTGATATTGGAAGAGTACATTCAGTATTTTCTCAACAGTTAGATTATTATTTACTATTCTACTGACATCTATTGTATTGTATCCTGATCTATGATTTACTTTCTTTCCTCAGGCGGTGGCGTTTGTGCTGGGTCTGATGGTGGTGTTGGCCCTGTCCCTGTCGGCTTACTACGCCTACAAGACCCGCAGCAAGATCTGGCACCACGGCAAAGCTAACATCTACTGGGACGCGCCGAGGGTCAGGTCTTCAGAGGGCCAGGATGTACAGGACTGGGTGAGATGCTTTATGATTTATAGCTTCATGATACTTATACAGAGGATGAATGAGGATTGTGTTTGTGTAAATGAGCGAGTTAGAATGAAATGATCTACAAAAGACTTGTGGTTTGGGTTTATTTCAATGTTTTCCCCAGGCAAATCACATCAACAAATGCGCTTACAATCTCATGTTTGCTCTTCTCAAGTTTCCAGTACCAATATATACACATCGTCAAGTCTCTTGGTTTTTGTGGCAATTTAGTTTCACAAACTCACATTAACCTGCTGCTGTTGACTCAGAGACCGCTGCCCTTTATCTGCGGCACTCCCAGGTTTCACCCTGACTGATCATTAACCAGCCTAGTGATAACAGCAGCACAGGAATCATATAAACATGAGCATTAAGCAACATTATATGATTTTCTGTATAAGGAAATGCTGCCTACAGTATAGGTCCGAAGACTATTCCTAGCTGAAACCAGGTTTTAAGTTTCAGGTTGTTTGAGCTCGGTTTATCACATACTTTTATTGCACAAAGTCATGATCACACCTTTTCTTTATGGGTGGCCTTGAAACAAGTCAGAGAACATAAATAAATGACTCACTGTGTTCTTCAGTCAATCTATAAAATACTATGAAAGATTGAATGATGATCAAAGCAGCTAAAATACATTTAAGCTGGCAAATATTTGCTTATAAAAATCTATTTTCTTTAAAACATTGCCATGCAGACACGATTCTTTATATAATTAACCATTGGGAAAATACATTATTCACCTTACCCTTCCTTAATCATTGATAATTATTATGCAGTACACACAACACTTTCAAATAAATCTATGTTTTAGTGTATTCAACATTCAGACCAACCAAAGGACCCAAAAGACTTGCAGCGATTTGGCAGTTTACTTTTATTTTTGCCTGTGGTGATGATGTGGGTTAGTTAAGCTTTTTTGTATGCGCTATATACAGATTTTAAACCACAGTTTATGTCTTTATCATGTTGAAACAACATTAATGGGATTATGTTACATAAAAAAAATCATTCATGACTCACAAATCATTATGTAAAATAAGGCAACACAACATTTAAAAGTACAAACGCACACATTGAGTCAGAGCGTAGAGAAACAGAAGGACTCTTCTCACTATTACACTGACGTCACTAGTCAGTGTTCAAATATGTATATCGACCCATATATTTGACTTTTCTTCAGTTAAAAATAGCAGTTTGCAAAGTTTCTTTGAACTATACTTTCACAGACAGTGAAACCGTTGTGATGCTGTCCTTTTTCTCGATGTGTAAAGCAGAAATAACCGACTACCGCTCAGAGCCCCCCCGCTGGCTGAGAGCCGCTGTCCCAGTGCATCAGTGCATTCAGCAGGTTTTTACACTGCTGTGGAGCCCTGTCAATGCGGTGCTGTTTGTGATTCACAGTGGTAGCCTCATGTGGTGTTTAGCAGTAATTAATATACTACAGCCGCAGTGTTCTATGACTGTATCATGTCCTACTTGACTCATTATGGAAGAGAAGGAAAGCACTCAATCAGTTTAGCAGCGAGGCCCTGGCCTACATACTGCCTATCACTGCAAAGGATGGAGTGAGTCACTTCGTGGAGATGCACTCTTCTATTGCACTGAAGATGCTTGCCTTGCAGGGAGGCATATATAATGTATGTGACATGTATAATGTATAAAACGGGTTGTGTTGCCTCAGTGTTGCTGTGTGAATCCCTACAGTGTGTGGTGGCGCTAAATGATTCAGTATGAGATGGGACTGCTGCACTCCTGGCTAAGAAGTCATTTCCATGTGCTTACTGACACATTTCTATCGAGCATAGCTGGAAAAGAGTGGCAATTAAGTTAAAAGTTTGTAGGGTTACTTCATTAAAAGCGAACGACCCGCACTTAAGTTGAAAGGAGAAGAGAACTGTCATGATTAGATAATTATAGCATGATCAAATGTGTGTGGCTTAGCTGTCTTAAGTTAGTATTTGTACAAAAAGAAAAACATAAAAATAATGAAATTATCAAAAAGGTATTCTACATAAAAAAAATGTCAGAAACTCCATCAATCAGACTTCATTTGTATAGCACTCTGATAGAAAGTACTTAAAAAAATAAATAAAACCAACCCCTCAACACAAAGTCACAAATGACTTTGTTATAGTTGATAACTGATTCATCTTTGTTTATGTAAAAATACCATAGCGCAAACAATACGCTTTAAATGAGGAATTTTTGCTTTTTTAATGTAAATCTGAAACCTTTTGGATATTCAAAACAATTTTAAAACCTCAATTTGTGGTCTGGAGCTGAAACAATCAATCAATAATTGGTTGATTAACTAAAACTAAATTGTGATAGGCATTTTTCAAAATATATTAAGATTATATAGAAATGTAAAGAACTGTAAGTGATCAATCCAGAATGCGAACATCAGATTAATCTGTGCTGAAAATAATCATCAAATATATTTTGGAGACACAGAATATGTCCATATTTAGACTACCTGATTTCCTTGTTGCAGTTCTTTGGACTTCACCACATTAACTTTCTTCTGCATTATATCACATTCCCTGCAACTTTCTGGGACTTTCTTTCTACTTATGATCATCCTCTGACATTCATGAGATCTGTTTCACAGGCTGCTTTTTCAAGACATTCGCATCAGCTCACTGGAGCTGATCTAGGTCAAAGACTAGGAGTCATTAATGATGCATCATACAGTACAACAGTGGATTACAAGAGGAATAATGCAGTTGTTGTGTTTGGTATTCTCTGGTATTATATTCTTTGGTATTGTTTTAGGTAATGCTTTTCCTACCTACTACTGTGGCTGTAAAGGGTTTTACCATTGCTGTGTTTTTACCTGATGATTCAGAAAGATGGAGCAGCAGACATGTTTCTTCCACTGATTTAATTCCTGTCTCAACCTTTCTCAGAGTGACACTATGTGTGCTTCAAGGATGTGGGTGCGTGTCCTTGTATTTATCTGGCGACATGCTTGTATGTCTCGCAGCGACAGCCTCTCTCGTCAAGTTTTCTCTGCCTATGTGAAAGATTTAGAGCAGAAAAGGTTCTTATTTTCCAGCATAAAGAATGCATCTACCTCTTCCTGTGGACTTTCTCATTTGTATCATAATTCTAAATTTGGCATTTTGTGTCAAAATACAAAATAAAGTATATTCTGTCGTACAGAGTCAATCTGCACTGTAGCCAGACATTTAATGTTTCCTAATGTCATCCTAGGTGAACCATGTTGGAGAGGTACGCAGCACCCAGCAGGCACCAACTGTTGTTTTGTCAGAGAGAGCAGCACCTGACCTGAGGGCGGGGAACAGCGTGGTCTCCTATGGCAACGGGACAGTCAGCATCCACAGTGAGGGAAATTATAACCACAATAGGTGAGTGATGCCCGGACACCACAGTGTGATCTGTTTCAACCCTGAAGCTTCAAATGCACAGTTATAAGTGTTAAATATCTTTGTAGACAGTAATTTGGTCAAGTGAGAAACATCACAAACTGCATTATGCACAAACAGAGTAGCCATATTATGAGTTCTTTATTGTTCTATCCATGCACGTGAAATTAATAAATTATTATCATGGCTAACTGTTTGGCTAAATTCAAGATCAAGGTCAAATGTATTTATAGCGCAAATAAACAAAACAGGATTGTGCTGTCAGTGCTTTAGAAACAACCATAATTATACAAGAAAGATTATCACAAGACATACGTACTACTCAAATACATTCATTACACTGTGCACAAACACACATGTGACATTAGAGACAGAATACGCAATCAGTCATCTGATATCTGTGTCTTGCTTTTCTATAGTTACTCTGCTGACAACAGTAATGGTCGGGGTGTGGAGCCACTGTACCAGAACAGCAAGGTCACAGTCTGCTCCAGCAGCTCCTCAGAGGAGACGGACAGCCTCAGGAAACCTCCTCCTTATCACGTGGAGGAGAAGCAGAAGAAAGAACGGCAGCCCAGACCTGCTGCTCGGGAGACGGTGGAGTCCACGTATGAAACTGGTTACACAACCGGAGACACGGGCAATGAGCTGGACCGGCACCACACAGATTACCTCCACAGGTGGGCCACTGCAGCTGCCAGATAATAATGCTGTCCTTGGGTTTTTAATATTTAGGCAGAATTGTATAACAGATGCTATGCACTGAGGGCTCAACGTTTTTTTTTAAATCATTTAATTATGCAAAAACCAATTAATAAAGCATTGAAATATAAATATTGAAAACAAAGTAGAAGAGTTATATACTCTCTGCATGTTCATTCGGATGCTTTTTCTTAAATAATAAGTAACAATATTATATTTATAATGTATTTGTTGTCAGCCAGGACAGGCTGAATTTAAAGGTGTTGAGTATCAGCATAAATGTTGGCTGTTGGCATCTTGAAGCAAGAAAACTCAGTTTCAGATTTAGACACCTTTACCCAAATTAAAGTTTTTAAGATCAATCTGAGAAGAACCTTTACTTTCCTCTGGCTTTGCCTCTTTCTAATTAATACCACTATTAATGAATGGAGACAATTTGCACTGCCCTGAAATAGTATTCATTATTTCAGAAGAAAAGGCTGTGATACTATAAAAACTGGCCAGCATCTCTGTTGTCTACTGTTATTCTTATTCAAATACTGTACCAAAAAAACCCCACTGCATACTTGTGTTGCCACTGTCTCAATAATAGTTTTTATTTAATCATCTTGTCAAGACTTACTGTTAATTTCCCACTCCAGACTTTACCCAGAGATTACTTCAGATGAGCAGCGCAGGCAGTACAAGACGGAGTTTGAATCAGACCTGGCCCGCTATAAGAGCCTCTGTGCAGAAATGGATGACGTTAGTGACGAGATGCACAAGCTGAGCCGAGAGCTGGACATCCTGGAAGAGGACTCCATGAAGTACCAGGTACAGAAAATCAGGAGTGAGGAGTCAAACATTCAGGGCAGACTGCCAGGAGAATGTACAGTCATAGCCATCCTCTAACTGCTAAGATCATGCTCAGTAACGCAAAGCAGTGAAGCTGAAGCAAGATTTAGCTTTTGTGCTAACATTTTAAGATTCTCTTATATTGTTAATGTTATAGAGTCAACACAAAATGTGTTTTTCCATTTTCAGGGTGTGGCAGATGAGTATAACAGACTCAAAGACCTCAAAAAGGTGAGTGTAATTAAAACTGTCGTCATATCATGATGAGTCATTAGTTCAATAGTTTGGCATTTTGGAAATTGTTTATTTGTTTTACTGCAGAAAGTTAGATGAGAAGACAAATGCCTCTCGTAACAGTTTATATAAAGCATCAGCATCACGTTATCTTAGCTTAGCATAAAGACTGAATGCAGGGGGAAACAGCTAGCGTAACACACCTTTGAATCTCAGCTGTTACCAGGGGCGGATCTAGACAAATATTCATGGGGTGGCAAGAGGGTGGCAGGAGATTTTGAGGGGTGGCATCCCCTGGCAGAAGTATATGCTGATTTAATCGCAGTCATATCAATCAATGTTAACTTGGAAAGCCACAATATTTATATTTTAACTCAATAACATCAGGATACATTATTGTGGCACATCAGTAAAGCCTTACATATAAATATATAAGGTGGCAGACATAATTTAATGAATTTTAACTGAACAATAACTGAATGAGTTTGTTTCCCTCTTAGACCAGCAGGGGTACCAAATCTATGCAGACTGCTGCAATAAGTACATTAATTAACCGTCTCATCGGTGTTTGTCTGAATGAATATGATAATATTAACAATCATATCATTCCTATCAGCTGTCAATCACTCTTATGATTCACATATTCATTTATTATTGAATAAACTATATTTTTTGGAGGAGTTAATGATGAATGTTCCTCAAGATGCTTGCTCACCCTCCTTCAAATTTGAAAGACAAGTAATTATATCATGTATCAAAATTCAAAAGATTCAAAGGAACAGTTCAGCGCCCCACGACTTTACTGCAAACAGTTACAACCTTGACTTTACATCAGAAAGAACAAACATTAAAGAAGTGACTAACTGCATCAGTTAGAGTTAAAAAACGTGTATTCAGCTAAAACATATACATCGCTGAAGTTATTATCCAGTGGAAAGTCCTTACCTACTGGCCTAGTTAAATCAAAGTGGTTACTTTTTTTTGGCTGGGCAGTGTAGTTTTACACACCGTCTTATTTGACTTTCCCAGGACTTAAAACTGTTTTTTGGGGGCAGACCCCCACAAAGAAAAAGAAAAATACACACATACAAGGTCATCATCTTAACAGTTTTTTATGCTCATCGAGTCATCCAACAGAGCATCAAGTTGGCATGCCTATTACAGCTGAATGCGGCGATTACCATTTTGTTCAGCAAAACGCCTCACAAACTTATTAAGATCAACAGCTTTAGTGCGTTTTGATTCAATGCTGAGTACAGACAAACTTGACAGTCTCTTCTCTGTCATTGTAGACCGCAAATACCTCATTCCTTCTGTCTACTTGAGTCCGAATGCTTCTCGTTACTTTTGCGCCGTCCCGTTCAAATGAAATCGCCGCCAATCATATTTCCAAGCTCGCGCCAGGGCCGGGGGAGGGGTTACAAGACTCGCATCTTGTGCTGCATTCACTTGCACTCGGACATTAGAGATTTTCTCTCATAAAGGTCCGATGAGCCACAACTTTTCTTTCAAAACAAAGATGCCTACTGGGGTGGCAGCTGGGGTGGCAGTTGCCACCCCAGCTGCCACCCCAGTAGATCCGCCCCTGGCTGTTACCTTCAACCTCACCAAGTTTAAGAGCCAGCAAAATGACATGTACAAATCTTTCAAAGGAATAAGTCTAGTTTGGCGCATAACCAAATGTAGAACTTCAATTTCCTAGCCTATTTATTCTGTCTGCCCTACTGTTTCAACTAATTGTAATTTCTGGTACCTTGTCTATATCAATTGTCTGAATTAATGTTGAAAAATACTTCAAGTTAAGTTGACAAGCTGTCGGCTGTAGACTTATATTTAAAGTTACGATCTTTAACATTTACAATTTATTCTCTTGCGCACTAAAGGTTGATTGCAGATGTGTTTTTTTTTTATTTCACTTCCCAAATGTAGCCACTTGTTTTTCCTGGTAATGTCGCCACAAACTTATTTGGACCATTATATAGATCGGTGAAATATAGGCTTAATCATAACTTCTACCTAATTTGGCGATAGTGATAGACTCATTTAAATTACATTTATTTTCAGATAAGTACTTTATTACACACAAAGAAAGTGAATAAGGATATTTACCTTCTGCTGGTATTGCTACTAATACCAATGATTATGTTCATTGTTTAATATCCGCTTGCTTTTATTTCTCTATCTTTCAGACTTCAGACTATAAAGCGAAGAAGAGGCAGTGCAAAGAACTTCGGCAGAAACTTTTCCACATCAAACGTCTGGTGAAAGTCTTTGACCAAGGTCTGTGTTAGTGTGATGTAACATTCTGTCCGACAGCCGAGGATGAACACTGACACGCTGTGACCTGGCTGCAGAAACTAGGATTGTATCCTCCATTTTCCCTCCAGTTCTACTGCTTTGCTATTTGAATATCAACAGTTCAGCTCAACATGGCTGTGCTTGCAGCCACTGAACCTCAAGTGTTTTTGACCCCAATGTTTACAACTACTGTGTGGCTTTGGCAGCTGTCAGAGTGGATTACTGTCAGGGTAGAGCTACTGGTAGACTTTCCTCTGCATGGTTGTAACAACATGCTACTGTTAACATTTATATTTGTTGTACCTTGTGTAATATTTAACATTTAAATGGCAATTTTATTTCAACAATGTTTAATTGTTACAGAATGTTGCAGGATGGGAAGCAATGAGTGTCAGTTTTAATACAGAAATAATGTAATGATGAAAATGATAGCAACAGAAATTGAGTCAATTATTTAAACAAATCAACAACTTTCATAAATACACTTCTACATTTAAGGTTCATGTCGCAGTGTTTATTTGGCATTCTTCATACAGATGTAATTACAACATTTTTTCAAAGAGTTTGAAAAAAGAAACATAACAAAAGACACACCGCCATCTTTCGATTCTTTTAATAACGTTTCCACACACACACAATTTAAAAAAAACGTAAGAACTCAGTAACACAAAGATAAGAAAACATTAATAGCATATTTAGCTTTTTTTTTTCTATGACATGGTTGTGTGAGTTGTTGCGTAAAATAAAAAAGTCAAAATAACTTTCGAAAGGCCCGGCGGTAGATCAAGAAGCAGTGTTACATCCTTCTACTTCGTGTTTGAAAACGCTCAATAGGCGCTTTCACACCGCAGTACTTTTCCCACAAAGGTTCATCAGAACTTAGTTCATGAGAACTGGCTTCAGTAGAAGCTGCTGGGACTCCCAGCTGAAATGCCTTGTGTTTAGAGTTGGTATTGTTTTTTCCTTTCAAATATTTTACTCATGTAAACCCGCCTCTTTAAATACCAGCATGAGGTAAATCCCAGTGGACCAGCAGATCAGGACCCATCTTTTTTTAACTTAAGCATGATGTTTTGGCATTGAATATCCTCCAAGTGCAGTTTCTCCAACCCATTTCCACCTACAGTATTGTCTCACAGCATTCCCAACAGTATAGACCCACTCAGTTATATCAGCTGTAATGGCATGAAGATAAGCGTCTTTTTTGACATCTAAGCAGATGACAGAGGTATTTTCATGTAAATACATATAGAAAAAAAACAACATTTAGAAGTAAACAGTGAAAGCAATACTTAAATGTTTAAATGAAACTTGAATTACATTATGTAAAAGAATGAAACAAGTCTCCACTTAGCAGAGATCCAAAACAACATTTCAACATGCAAAAAAGACAAAGTTGGCTTCAATATATATATATATATACACATATCAACACATTTTGTCAGGGATCATTACCCCCAGAAACAGAATTGATCGACGTAAACTGGTGTTTTCATTAGTAGTGTTGGTTATAAACTCTCACCACCAACTATAACTAATTGATATATCTTCAGTTGTTTGTTTTAAAAGAACCCGAGTTGATGTCAGCCTGCTATTTCTCCAAAGAAACAAAACAAAAATCTTGATCCAAACATTGCTTGATAGCTGAATTCCCCATGATTCAATCGGTCAAATCATGTTTTGTTTTTTTAAAGATACAAGACAAATGTTGGTGATGCTCACCCCAAATTCAGAATGAAAAACAAGGCAGTTGTCAAAAAGAAGGCGGTTTCTGGTGAACAACATTTACAGAGGTTTGTGTTTAGGAAATATCAGACTGAAGCATTCTGATGTCTAGTGAGGTATAAGTCCGCTCTCCTGTAACTGCGGCTTTATGACAGAAACAGTGAGCCCTGTGAATGAGTTTAAATGCATTGTTCTGTTGATGGTCAGGCAGTCACAAGAGTCCGTTTATCTCTCTGCTTTGTGGACCAATTATTCTAATCAGAAGCCATCTCTGAGGATGAAATGATAGACTTTGGTGATTTTTCCTTGGTTTTGTTTTCTTTCTGGTTCCATATGATCCATTCCCTCCTCAGTGTTGAGCTAGAAGAGCTTTGCTTCAAAAACAAGCTCTTACTTTGTCCCATATTCAGTTCACCACAGTTAAATTAGATCCACTCTGATCATGTAATTGTAATGTTATCAGTGTGGATAAAAAGGTCAATGTATCACAAAGGGTGAGCTGTGGAAAATGAGCCCAGTGTGGGGAAAATTGTTCTGCTGACGTTCAGCGGCGGGACCGTTTTGTCCTCTAGATGTGTGTGTCGCGGGGTGCTGCTGCCCTCTACATGAAACTGGACCGTCTTTAGTCACTGTTGCATGTGGGTGGTGGCATGACTGGCCGTGGTGGCCATATCGGAGCCCAGCATGAAAAGCTGTTCGCTGCCCTGAGACCTGGCACCAGAGCGACTGGGCTGGCAACAAGACAGATCCTGGCTGGCACTGGCTCCTCTCTTTATTGGAGGCCGTGTGGAGACAGAGGGATCATTTCATGAGTAGAGTGAATAGAGTGGTTACAGTACAGGTCATATGACGGCCAGCTGGCACTGCAGTTTGATAACCACACAGATGGATAGTGATGAGTCAGGAGGTTTCCTGTGGGTCTTTGTCGTCACTAATCCCAGGACGGAGACCTCATCCGTAAGCGGGCTACTGTCCTGGGACATACGGCCAGCTGATGGAGCTTCCGGAGAGCTGCATGTCACGAATCAGCGTCTCGATGGGGGTCTTTCCTACCAGGCGCATGAAAAAGAGCTGCGAGATGAGGCTGGCTGGAACGGCGCGCAGGGCAGGGAGGCGCAGGAGCAGGCGTCCGAAGCGCTGAGGCTGACTCGGGTACTGCATCCTCTCGTACTCCGTCAGAGCTACCTGAGCCTTCTCCTGCAGAGACTCCACGTGGACCGGGTCTGTTAGACCACAGGCGTCTGAGGGGGAGGGAGAAGGAGGCCGTTATTTAATAGTGTGGGCAGGTTACATAAAGAGTCGTGATGAGAAATCCAGGCAGATAATAATAATAAAATGCCCCTGAGGTGAACACATAAAATATAGTGCCTCGGCATGTCTACCCTGTAAAAACAAGACATTAAAAACCTGTATCACAGCTTTAAAGGAATACAAGGATGGGGTCTTTTAAAAATATTTGAATGCTTTTGGATGAGGCAAACCCACAAGGCAAATTGTTTTAAAAGAAGGCCACTAAAACAAGTCTTAAAATTCAATGTGCTGCATAATGATCAGTGGTGGCACTGAATTATGCAGCACATAGTGCGTTTTCATTAATAAGCCAGGAGATGGTGCCATTGTAGGTGAATTCCCAGATGGAGGTTGCACATTTACCTGCAGCCCCACAGATATTTAGGTATGTGACATTTTCAATTTTAAAATATACAGTTTTCCAAGACGCTTACTTTGTGTGTTTAGTTCCTATCCATAGTTATAAAGAGAGGCGCGATAAATATTTTGAAAATTAAGACAGTAACATAAGACACCCTGTATTCATTGCTTGACAAACACAACATAATTCAGTTTGGCTGCAATCCACTCATTTTAGCAGCATATTAAAAAGAGGAAAAACATCAATCAATCTACATCTATCTTTATGTATATGTGTATATAGTCTAATAATGGTAAAGCATATACAATTAGATGGATGTATAGTTATGGCTGTCATGGAATTAAGATCAGTTTACTATTCATGTTTAGTAGTTGTTTAATTGATTAGCGTTTTCTTTGGCTCTGTGGGAGCTTTTTTTAAGTGTGAAAAAGGTAGTCCCGGTGATGTCATCAGCGTTATGTTGGTTGATGTCTGAATAAGGCCTCCTTCACACGGGAACGTTTGCGTTTATGCACAGTATGCGTATTCAAAAAAGTCTTCCGTTCACATGCATTCGTTTCATTTAACGTGTCTGTTCAAACGAGACCGCTGGAAACGCTGTAGTACATATGCCGGGCCTGTAAGTGGCGCTGTAACTTCCGCCAAAATACACCAAAAGCAGCGAAGAAGAGCAGCCCCGCAGCAATGTTGCCATGGCTACCCTTCTGTTTATGCCCCGCGGTGTATTTAGCAACATGTAGTTCATGTAATTCTCCATGTCCACTTGTTGCTGATGGTTGTGGTAGAGGAGCTGTAGATTTTGCACTAATATCTGTAGCATGGTCAGTAGCAGTAGCACTAGCAGTAGCTACTGACAGGAGGAAGTGTGTGTGGCGATTGCTGGTATTCAGCGGGATATAGTAATTTCCTCAGCATATGGATAAATGCAACGGGGAAGTTAACTGAAAGAAACCGAATCTGTGGATATTGCATCGACCGACCAAGAAGCACGTCTCCGTGGAGAGGACGCGCTCAGAAAGAGAGATATTCTCTACAAACACCGGGTGAGATCGCTCCTCTGGGACACGCCGGTCCTCTGCCTACAAACATTTCTCTTTTTGCCGCCGACGGGCGCAGGAGCAATGAACAATAATGGCCTGGATTAGGCAGTAAAGACAAGTTTGGTGTATCGCAGAGCGGACTTTTTAATTTTGTTTGTGTTGTTTGGCTGGAAAATTGTCAATATAATGGATCAATGCATGAAATCTGACTCTGTTTATTTTGTTTAAGGAGTATATTGGGCGTTAACAATTCTGGTTTGCCTTTTATAATATTATTTCATTCAAGAACCCCTTGTGCGTTTAATTAACACAGCTATTTTTGATAGTTGCTACAGCAGTGAGCAGGAGAGGTGGGGAGAGGCGGGGCTATCGTTATTTTTTCAGGAAATATTCGTATAGAGGTGATTACACGGACTCGGTTGACCCCCCAGAGCGTTTCGTTTGCAAATCTATCCACCTTGGGACCCGTTATCGTTTGTGGGGTCAGTTTCTATCGGCCTCGTGTAAATAATAGGGCTATACGCAGGGGTGCACATAACTGGTACGCAGGTACGCATGCGCGGCAACAATCTGAAATGCGTACCGTCACTTGTGTCACAAAGCGCATTTGCGTACCGACGTTCTTGTGAAGCTTTTCCAGAAGGCGGTTAGATCACCGGACGACAGAGTTGGTCTCCGTGTGCACAGACAGGGCTGCTGTAGACGTCGGTCTGTACAGCAGCCCTGCGCTAAAACAGCTGATGACAACGTTCACACGCCCCGCGGTCACGAAGCGCTGTACTCCACCCCCCCCCCGTCAACAATCGCGAAGCGCTGTACTCCACTGTCACACCCCCCCCCCCGTTGACAATCGCCAGAAGTTGGAGTACCAAACACTGACTCCAGGTACTCATCCGAGTACCTCACTGAGAAAGTTGTGTGCACCCCTGGCTATACGCACGCGAAACTATGCAGATACAAGCAGTTTTCGGCGCCTAAGACTCATTTTAAAGTTCAACACTGGATGTGCAGAGTTTAAAAGATGAATGAGAAACAACTTTATGGATAAGATTTAAACGCTGGAGTGCCACTTTAGAATGCCTGAGGTGGTTGGGCAGCACATTGTGTTACGATAACATCAGATGGAACAGAAGAGCAGCAACAATCACCTGGTGAAAACAGCGCGATGGCCTTGAGGCAGCTGTACTCAGCCGAGTCCACCTGCAGCCGGGTCAGCTTGTCCACCTGGTCCTGGAACACCCTCACCTGGTCCATGAAGGACACGACGCGCTCCGCGGACATGGGCGAGGAGTGGAAGCCGGCTGCGGCCAACAAGGGGGCCATGTGTAGCGGCAGGGCCGACTGGGCCGCATTGAGGATGAACAGCTCGCTCCAGCTCAGCCTCAGCAGAGCCACCTGTGGATTTGTGAGTGTGTTAATATGATTGACCTACACTGTCATCATCCATTTGTAATGTTCATTGTATATTTATGTTGCCATGTAGACAACCTTTTCTCATGGAAACATGCCAAAGAATAGCATCTGATAACCAGGGAATAACTGCAACATATCCAAACACAATTTAAAATCTAATCTGCTAACCTGATCTGACACAGGCAGCTCGGGAAAATAAGGGATGCTCCTGGCCCATTCCACGGTGCTGAAGAGTAGCCTTGCAGCCAGTTCACAGATGTTATCGATCCCCATGGCGTTATCCGGACCGGCCTGCTGGTTGTACTGGTGACCAAACCTACTGCTGGGGTACGGCTCGGCTCGCAGCAGCTGGGAAATGAGCTCCGACACCGGCTGACCTCCGCCACTCCCTCCGTTGTTGTTGTTGTTGTAGAAGTCGCCACCTCCAAGGCCGCTGGCTCCACCTAAGGGCGTGATGGAGGGGCTGAGGCTCGGCTGAGGTGGGATCCGACCGCGTTGAACTGCTGTAGTTTAGTTGGGGTACAAAGGGGAGGAGAGGAAGGGTGGGGAGGAAACAAAGAGAAGAGATGGAAGCAAAGGGAATGGGAAAAGGGCAGATAAAAAGAGACGGAAGATGAAGGTAAAGGGGAGGTATAGGAAGGGATTTGGAGAAGAAAACGGAGGGAAAGAAAACTTAAAACTGAGTTCAGCCAGCGGTGAATGTCAGATTATCAGAATACAGGCACAATCAAGTCTAGATTGATTCCTCAAGAAAAGCTTGAAAGTGAGGGGACACATTCTTGTGCTTGTCAGGTTTGATGAAGGTTATCTCCGAGTTATTAAGACTCCGAGACAAAAGATTACTCTCCATTCAAAATTCAAACCTCTGAAATATTTATTCTGGAGGGGAATTACAGCACACTATTTCATTAACCTTTAACCATACCATAATCTTAATCTTAATACACACAGATTTTATCCTGCGCTCCAAATCACCCTATGAGAAAGAACATCACTACAGACACATTGACTTCCAAAACAAAGCAGCAGGGCAGAATACTGGATAGAGTTAAATTAATTTGTGCGTATTCATGCTGTAAGCATCTGTTCTGTCTAGGTGTCCTTGAGCAACAGACTCCAGCCTGAGGAATGCTCTGTAGCTGACCCTGACCTCTCTGTGGAGATGGTCAAGCAGAGGCAATCTCTCTGCAGGGAGCAATAATGAGTCTCATTAGCAAGCTTTACGATCTGTGAGTATTAGAGGGGGAAAACAATTGTTCTAAAAATCGAACGAACCAGGTCAAAACAACGTGATTGTTTTTTGTGTAACCATTGGCATGACGTTGAACAATACTTCAATCTGGGCTCTGCCACTTAAATTGAAAACCCTGTATTGGATTTTGTCTGATTTAGCCAACAAGGCAGAGGGTTTGTGCAGCTTCACCCAGAGGCTTAAGGCTCTGGGAAGCAGGTGTCTTAGCACTGTATCCCTCTCAGTCACTCTTAAACAGGCACTAGATTAAGCCACTTAGCACATGGCATTGAGCTGACACGCATGGCTTCCTTTGCCATGATAGGGCCTAGACAGCCATGTGTGGCATTTTCCCTGCACTATGGAGCCCATGGAGCAGAAGAAACAAGATAACGTTGAAGGAAAATGTAACTATTATTTGTTATTGTCCTAAGAGCTGCTGATTGTAGTAATTGAATGTCTCTCTGACACTCTTCAGTAAAGGAAATATCAATTATTTTCATTTTTTACATTAATTCACTTTCAGTATTTGCCATATTGCTCATGCGCAGTGGCAGTGTGTCCCACAGTGTCTCAAATAATTTCTTAAGGGATCAAAATGGATTGCGGATTTACAGATCAGGGTAGGCAGATACCTTCTTTGCGCATGCCAACACGGAAACATTTCTTCAGTCGACAGTACTGGCACTGGTTCCTGTGGTGCTGGTCAATCTGACACTCTCTGTTTGACCTGAGGACATAAACACATGATATTGTTGATTATTGCTTACCAACATAATCATTTAGTCCGATGACATGCAGACTGTGTGATCTGCTTTCACCAAGTGGTTTTGTGATTTTACTGGTTTTCATGAAGATGATAAAAACTATCCAACCCTGATGGCAAAAGTGCAATCAATCCTTCCTTTACTGCTGCAAAGTGTATGTCAAACTTTTGAATGTACATCATATAAAAAGCTGTCATATTGATTATATAATTGTCTATGCGATAATACAAAGACTTCCTTTTTAAAGTGCTCTCAAACATTAATATTGCATCAGATTTACCACAAGGCCTCAGAGAATGTTACTATGCTTAGATAGCATGATGACTGTTTCTTTCAGTGTTACTTCTTCCACATACAGTATTGTTCTCATCTGTAGTGTGCAACATCCTCTTTCATATTTACTCAACTATAAAAGTAGAGCAGAGACAATTGGTTGTGAACTCAATAAACAACAGAAAACACTGTCTGCTACTTTTTTGAAAATCAGTTCATTGTTACAATAATTTTCAAGCGCAACATGCCAAATCTTCCGTGTAAAATCTTTCAAATTCTAGTTCTGATTGTTTTGTTCACACCAAACAAGTATCATGAAATCACCAGCATGGGCTCCTAGAAATTGTAAATGGTATATTTTTTATAGAACATACACCTATATCAATTCACTGAGAGAAATACTAAAAGACTGAGATATATTGGAAAAAGTCATTTGCAGCATTTAGTCAAGACAATATTGGCACTGAAATAGTTTGTCGACTTAAACATCTCACTGAGTCCGACCGCCTTTGCACAATCTGATTTTTACCTTGCGCCATAAAGCATTGGAACTTGCTTCCACTTGAGCTTAAAATGTGCAGACCTTTCAGACTATGTTATAGTTGTAGATAGATGTGTTGTAGAGATCATAGTAGTGGTGTTGCATATACATTAATGTTTTAATTGCCTATTTGTTGTTTTCTGTTTACCTGCCCATGGACTGGAGATGAACATTAGATATATCAGGCATAACATGTTATTCTTGTTCTGAATAATTATAGCAAACAGTCCCAGGCTGCAGTTTCTTTCTTGAATTTGGATATTATGCAGAAACTCTATATATGGTTTGATGTACGGCATGCTTCACAAGCATTATACTCTAGCAAACTAGGGATGCAATTACCAATAGTTCTGCCACAATTTACAAATGTATTGAGTAAATACAACTAGTTTTTAAATCAGACCATGAAAAATCACAAAGATATGTAGTTATTATCATAGGCCTACAGGACAAACAGCAGGCACATTTGTGATGATGGAACCAGACAATGTGTGGCATGTTTGATTGAAAACTTAAATCCTTAGCAGAACAGAAATAGATAATATATTGATAGTTTCAGTGCCATAGACACCTTTAAAAATGTAAATGCTAGGCTATATTTGTGGTTCCCTGTATATTCCTTTTATTTTTTACATTTGCTTTATGCATAATAAAAGCACATGGTTATCATTTTACACCTACAAAACACTCAATTACATTAGAAAGACAACAGCCACGTTGCTTATGGAAACCAAACAATGTATTGATTGTGTATAACAATGTATAGCTATAGCTTAGCAACATTGTTCCTTTTAGCAACTTGTATACAACAACAAAAAACACACGATACTATCAACAAAACCAAACAAAAACTACCCACAATGCCCCTCACCTGCATGTGTAGTTGAGATTCCTCCGCACGCTCCTCTTGAAGAAGCTCTTGCATCCCTCGCACGTGAACACGCCGTAGTGTTTCCCGCTGGACTTGTCCCCGCACACCACGCAGTCCACCACGCACGACTTGTCATCGTCCCCGGCCTCCATGTCGCTTCCTCCCGCCTGCGGAGAGCCGTCTTCGTCCTCCCCCCTCAGGTAACTCTTTTCCCCCAGCCCGTTCGTGCCCCCGTTGGGATCTCCCCAGCCCCCACTCACCATGGCCATCGCTTGGTTACCGAACCACGGAGGAAGAAAATGGGACAGGCCGCCAAGATGTCTGGCTGCTGTCAAGGTAACATAAATATAAGAAAGTCCAGTGTGTCTCCCTACACCTGAAATGGATCAGTGTTGCCTGCTTGTTTGTGCTCACCTTCGTTAATTAAGGTAATTAGAGCTTATTGCCAGAAAATAAAGAGTCCTCAGGCTTAACAAGCAGATGTCAATTAGAAAGAAAATAGGCTATAGCATTGAGAGGGAGGGTGTTTGGCAGAAAAAAGAGCGGTTCAATCTCCTCCCACTCCACTATGACCTGGAAACAGTCAGTGTGGCAACTTTTAGTTTTGCATGCCTGAGGATTTACATTCCCCCTATTCTTGTCTTCTTTCCTCCAGCTGTGTTGTTTTGGTCCTTTTCTTTACACCGATTCCTGAGATGGCTAAAAAGTAGCCTGCTCGATCGCTGCCTGGTCAGACGGTCTCATCCAGGGAACCTTTTCACAGGAAACAATGAGTCAAACATACAGTGCACATTCCACTAAAAGAGAGCAAAGGCTGAAAAGATATTCAAGCAAATGACATGGGGTGAAAATCTGCCCTAGCACACAGCTGCACTCTCACACATGCACTCCCAGCTCTGTCTCTGTAGCAACAGTAATGGCTGAAAAAGGACCTCGGTGTAGCTCGCCTTAGCACATGCCTGGAGAGGCTTTGACCACCCCTCTTAAAGCACCCCATACACCAAATGTTATCCCTGCTTGCGCCAGTTATTCCTCATATAAGGTTGCTGTCTACCAAAAGATTGCCTCTAAATCCTTCTAGAAATAATGTCAAGCTTACCTGGACGTATATGTGGCTTTCCTTCCTTCAAATTAAATCCTTTTTCTTGCCCTAGATCTTCCTCCCATTCAGCGAGCCTGAGAGCGCAGACACAGCTCTCCTATTCTGCTGTAATCCCCTCAGCGGCAGCAGCATTGTGACCCACAATGAAGTCATTCCTCATCAAGCAAAAACAAGTTGATGTCCTCACAACAACATCACTCACATGTGGCCGTGGGCCAGCTGCAGCAGACTGCGCTCACCTCCTAAATACACGAGTATAGATCCTCAACACAAGGAAGTGATCTGTCTCTTCCCTGCTTGTTGTAGCACGGCTGCTCGGTTGTGACAATGTCCTCCGTGCTGCTTCTTTCCCCAAAACAAAATAAAAAAGCAGCAGAACGTCCTTGTGCTCAGCCCTCCATAGTTCCTGTGGTCGCTCTCCAGGCACTCATGCGGACTTCTCTCTCACAGCCTTTTGTCAGTGCTTGCCCACCAGGAACTAATGACTTGCGGCCTAGCCCTCTGTGTGCTCCTCTTTCGTCCGTGTGTGTGTGTGTGAAGCCTTTGCCTATGGCTCAGGCAAAACAGGAGGTGGGGGTGGAAGGGGACGTGTGCTGCTCTTCCCCCCCCTCTTTCTCTCAGGCTTCAGAGTCCACAAATGAAATTATGATTGAAGAAAATGGCCACAGCCGGAGAAAGGCTGGATTTCTTTTTTTTCAGGGTTTTTTCTTCTTCTTCCTCGCCCCTCTTCCCCCTTCTCTATTTTCATCCAACCTATGTGTGTGTGTTGAGAGAGAGATCAAGCAAAGCAAGGGAGGGAGAGTGTGTGCAGAGGGGGAGGGGGCCGTCTCTGTGTGTGTGTGTGTGTGTGTGTGTATGTGTGTGTGCTCCCAGGGATTTGACACTGCTATTCAAGCCCTGCGGTTTCCATGGTGCTGGCTGCCTTATATGGCTATTGGAGTCAAAGAGCAAAGAGAGTGGGCTGTGTGGGGCAACACACACACACACACACACACACACACACACACACACACATGAAGGATGTGGAGGATCTCTCTCTCCTCAGAGATGCAGAGAGCATGACCCCTTGGCCTCAAAAAACACCCCGACAATACCAGATTACCCTAAAGCCTCGCTGCAAATACAAGCAAGCCGAGCTGCTGCCTGCCCTTTGTCTTTCAGAAAGCAATCAAATGTCAGGGTGAAAGTTTCCACATTGCCATACATGATTTAAGAAGCCGTGCAAAGAAACAGAGAGGTGAACTTTATTTCTCAAAGGGAGGATATATCTTTCCAACTCGAATAACACACTTTGATCTGGCGAATGTGTGAGCAGCCCGCTCGAGATCAGCTTATTGTCTTGGAAATAAAGGTCATCGTTTTGTGGTCATTGCTCATTTGCTCAAGGCCCTCTGTCTGTGGGCTTTGTGGAGCACGCAGTGATTTGTGTTCGAGGTTACCCGGAGAGGTCAAACAGACTTTCACACCCTGCCACGCTAAAAGCCCAGGGTCAAATGCAGATAAAGGGGAGGGGGTCGACGCACAGCAGCCCTGGATAAGAGCTTTAACAGATAAGTGATGAATCTGCTTGTAAATGTGCAGCTCTTCGGGGTTTGGGGGGGATGGCAGACGTAGATAGGGCGAGATGAAAGTCCTCTGAGACATTCACTATATGCAACTTGTTGTCTTATCTGCAGAGCGTTTACAGACATTTTAAAGGCATTATTTTCCCCCCTAAAACACTTTTACGGCATTCCTAAATCTAAACCCGGCTTTACCCCCTGGAGAACAGAAATGTGTGTGTGTGTGTGTGTGTGTGTGTGTGTGTGTGTGTGTGTGTGTGTGTGTGTGTGTGTGTGTGTGTGTGTGTGTGTGTGTGTGTGTGTGTGTGTGTGTGTGTGTGTGTGTGTGTGTGTGTGTGTGTGTGTGTGTGTGTGTGTGTGTGTGTGTGTGTGTGTGTGTGTGTGTGTGTGTGTGTGTGTGTGTGTGTGTGTGTGTGTGTGTGCCACTGTGCCTGCTTATTGTCACTTCTTGTATTGGGAAAGATTAGGCTTGTAAAGAACAGTGTCTGTGTGTGAGAAGATCAGATACCCACCGAGCTGTTAATCAATAGTTTTGTTCCATTAAAAAAAAACTCACATTTGAGTTGAATTGTACTGTTGTTTATTTAACTCTGTTTTGACGATTTTGATAAAATATTCAAAATGACAGATAGTGGATCTGCAATTTTGAATATTTTATCACATCTCTTTGTTTCATTTCAGTCACGTTTATCTGTAAAACAAATGGTCCTCATTGACATTTATTTAATAATAAAGCACGTTTTATACACCAAGTGCAGCTCAAAGTGCTTTAACAACAAGGCACACATCACAAATAAAAAAATAAAACAACTAGAAATTCACTTCAGGTCAAACGTTACAACCTTTTTGCACACGTGCAACATAAAAAACAAATACATTTAAGGGACACAAGGAGGTAAAAGGTATGATAATAAAATAAATAATGATCTCTGTAAAATAAGGAAGACGTAAGAGAAAACCAATTAATAAATCAAATTGAATATTAATATAATAATACAAATAAAGATTTTAAAAAGGGATGTTGCAAATAAAACTACAGCATAAATAAAACATCTATTAAACCTATACAATATATAAATAATAAAGATTAAAAAGGGATTTCTAATAAAAGCTAATCTAAAAAAAGGAGTCTCGTCCGGCAGTGGCTCAGTCAGTAGGGGCTTGGACTGGGAGCCGTAGGGTCGCTGGTTCAAGTCCCCGACCAGACCTAAATATGGAGTGTGGACTTCTACTTGGAGAGGTCCCAGTTCACCTCCTGCCCTGCCGTGGTGCCCTTGAGCAAGGCACCGGACACCCCCCCTTCCCCCCCCACTCCCATTGCTCCCCGGGCGCTGTACAATAGCTGCCCACTGCTCCTAGTACTAGACTCCTTGTACTAGGATGGGTTAAAAGCAGAGGCCAAATTTCACTGTGTGTGCTGTGTGCTCTGCATGTGTGACCATTAAAGAGGGTTTCATCCCTCCCTATTCTATTCTATCTCCATCTGTCGATTTCAGCTGCTTTTAGATCATTTGCTACCCAGCAACTAAAGGTTTGCCTAATCTTGTCTTAACTCTGCTTCAGTGCTCCTGTGGATTTCAGCCCCAGGATACTGCACTGCTTCTGTGTCGACATTAAGCTTCACCTTACCGAAATACAGAAGAATCAGAAATAATGTATTAGTCCAACATTGGGGAATTGTACATTGTAAAGGGACAGATAAAAGGCAAAAAAGTAGGTAGTTCAGTAAATGACATTAAAATAGCATTTGAAAAGAATATTTCACATATGAAGGAAAAGTGTGACCGATTTAAAAAGATGCTGCACATCATTTCCACTTCAGTGTGTGTCCGTCTGTCGGAGAGATATCACTTGGGGCAGGAGTGACGAGACCTTTGAACTGACAGTCAGGAATGTGGTTGCTGCCAGCGAGGCATCCAGAAATGCAAGAATGCAAAAAAAAGATGTCTACCAAGCTGGCAGCCTATCAGATAACGCACACAGACGTAGCTGACACTGAGCAGCACAGTGGTAAAATAGCTACTTGGATTTAATAAAAACTCTCAAACTTATTAAATGGTCAGGTATAACCTAAATCACAAAACTCTAATTGACATTGTGTGCAGTGCCCAATGTGGCCACTAGTACAACAAATTGGCTCAGTGGACGACACTGCCATAACAAGCTTAAATGACACATACACTATATAGACAAAAGTATTGGGCGACCTACACATTATGACATCCCATTCCAAATTCTTAGGCATTAATATGAAGTTGGTCCCCCCTTTGCTGCTTTCTCAACCTTCCACTCTTCTGGGAAGGCTTTCTACAAGATTTTGGAGTGTGTCTGTGGGAATCTTTGCCCATTCATCCAGAAGAGCATTTGTAAGGTCAGATACTGATGTTGGACGAGAAGGCCTGGCTTGCAATCTCCGTTCTAGTTCATCCCAAAGGTGTTTAATGGGGTTGAGGTCAGGGCTCTGTGCGGGCCAGTCAAGTTCTTCCACACCAAACTCACCCAACCATGCCTTTATGGACCTTGCTTTGTGCACTGGGGCTCAGTCATGCTGGAACAGAAAAGGGCCTTCCCCAAACTGTCTCCACAAAGTTGGAAGCCTAGAATTGTCCAAAATGACTTAGTTCCAGTGAAGGGGTTTCTTAATGCTTCATCTTACCAAGGGCACTAGGCCGACCCCAGCAAAACAACCCATAGCATTATCCCTCCTCCACCAAACTTTACAATGTAGTCAGGCAGGTAATGTTCTCCTGGCATTCGCCAAACCCAGACTGGTCCATCAGAGGACAGATGGAGAAGCGTGATTGGTCACTCCACAGAACACGTTTCCACTGCTCCAGAGTCGCTTTACACCACCCCATCCGACGCTTGGCATTGTGCTTGGTGATGTCAGGCTGCTCGGCCATGGAAACCCATGCCATGAAGCTCCCGGCGCACAGTTTTGGTGCTGATATTAATGCCATGCCATGGCTAGGTGCTTGATTTTATACACCTGTGGCAATGGGACTGAAACACCTGAAGTCAATGATTAAGATATTTGTCTATATAGTGTATATAAGTAGTATATCCTCGCTAAAATAAATAACTCATATCAGACATAAATAGTTGTTAAATTAAAAACTATATCCATTTATTTGACATCTGATTACGATATAAAACTACATTAAACGTAAGTAACCTCACAAGATTGTCCATGCAAACAGGTTTAGTTTGCATTGTATTATACCCACTGACCATCAAATGGTGTGAAAGACAAATAGTGTCTGCTTAAGGCTATTTATCTGAGGGTATCTCTTATCCGAAATAAACGTAGCTTGTCCAACCTGACCACAAAAATGCAACTTCAGTTCCTGCTACAATGACCTGATCTGTTGGGTCCTTGAATTTGAAGGAATTGGGCCTGCAGATTCCTTGAATTTTAATTGAAGAAATTGTGAGAACCCTGTATTCATACATTCTGTGCTTAAATTATAAAATATTTTTAACTGAATATCTTCTGATCACACAAAGGAAAACCCAAAATAAGTCAATCGGTTTTTAACCCTTAAAACTAATTTCAACAGAAAAGTCAAAGTCAAACACTATCATTCAGAATCACCTTTATATACACTACATCCTTTATAGTTTTAAAATGGTAGTTTCATACAAAAGCCCAACCCTGCTTTCATAAAGGTAATACTATTGAGCTTTGTTTTGAAGAGATGTTGATTAAAACGTTATTGACATTTGTTAGATTAAAGTTAATCTTTTTTACAGCTTTTACTGCTAGAATCTGAAGTTGAACAGGATATATTGCCTGACTCTTGTATAAGACTGCAATAGTTTTTGCTAGATGTACCCAACAAAAACTGTCAACTGCAGGCATGTAAAAGCCTTCAAACAACAAGGAAGCAGTCATACAGCACATGGTCGAACCCCTGATCAACCCACCATTAGTTCAAACGA